ATTTGAGAGACAAGAGAGAGTGAGAGAGAACATGACCAGGGTGAGGGGCAGAGGGAGAAGCAGACTCCCCGCTGAGCAGGCAGCCCAATGCAGGACTCGATCCCGGGACCCTGGGATCAATGACCTGATCAGAAGGCAGACGCTCAACCAACTGAGCCACCCAGGCGCCTGTATCTTATTCTTTAAAAAATGCTCCTTCCTCCTCCACGTGATTCTGATGGGCTATCAACCGTGTGGCCTAACATTATCCACCACAGGAATAAATATATGACCCATATAGGTCAGTCAGACTATCCCTTTTTCTTCCAGCCCACTCCAGGATAGAGCATGTGCTAAGTCAGGCTAACCAGAGCCATTCTGGGGGATGCGCAGGGATGGTGAGACAGAAAGGACAGCCCTTCTCTGAGAATGCTATCTACAAGGAAGATATAAACCTAATGCTTCCACTTTAATCTGACTTGGGTTTCAATTATTTATAACCAAGTCTTGTTTTATTTTAGTATCAGAAAACTATAGTTATAGTTACTTTCATTCCTTTCTTCTATTTTTTTCCCCTGCATTAGTTTGCTTTTTTCTACTAAGTAGAATCCTAGTATTTTAAAATACAACTCAATAGGCTAAACTCCAGGGAGTTCTCATTGAATTCTGCTATAATATCCTAAATTAATGAAAGAGGCTTAGGTTTCAAAACAAATCCTAAACCTAACCAAAAGGTAATTTTCAAGAAAAGTCCAGAAAATTGTTTTCTCTAAAAATGCAGTATAATGTGATGGAGGGAACATGAGCATTGAAGTCAGATCTCAGTTTAAATACTGTCTCAAGCACTCAATAGCTGTGTGAACTATTTAGCATTTTGAAACACGCATCTTCATGTAGAATATGAAGATAATACTCATAGGGTGAGATAAGTAAATGAGAAATCACATTATGTGTGGCAGGTACTCAATGTATCTCCTCAAACCCCTTCCCAAGCTCAACATGATGGTACTTTTTACTTCTTAGATTAATAACAAAAAGAGCTAATTTTTATCTAACATTTACCATGTGCCAGATACTATCATAACTATTATGATATCTACCAACTCATTTAGTCCTCAGAACTCAGTAAGGTAGATATTGTTACTCTCCACCTTTTTCCAGGTGAGGCACAGAAGGGTTAAACAACCTGCCCAAAGTGTCCCCTACTCTGTAAATCTCACAGAGGATTTGAACCTAGGAAGCTTGGCTCCAAAGTCTATACCTTTAGTCACTATGATGCCTGTCTCAATCAGTGAATACAGCCACACTAACGTTATAAACTAACTACAAATTATGGTTGGTTCTGTCAAGCCACTGATTTTAGATGGTCTAAATAAATTAAATCTTGATAATTAAATATGGGAGTGACTAGAAAAAGAAATCAGAGGAAACAAATGGCTAAAGGGCAAGCTTAAGGCATAATGGGCCATGACTCATTCATTCAACAGCTCACTGAAGGCCATCATAGGACAGGTACTAATCTAAACACTGAGAACGTTCCAGTCAAGAGGACAGACTAGTCTCTGCTCAGATAGAGCAGATAATGTGTGAATAAGTATCAGGTAGTGATGAGTACCACAGATCAGGAGGTCTGCAAATGCCTCTCTGAGGAGGGAATATGCAAGCAAAGCTGTGAATGACAAGAAGCCTACCCTGTGAAGATTAGGGGGAAGTGCATTCCAGGGGAGGAGACAGCTAGTGCAAAGTCCTAAGGTAGCAGTGGCCTAATTAGGTTTATGAAATGGAAAGAAACCAATGTGGCAGGAGTACAGTGAGCTAGCTGGCAGCAGAGAGGAAATGTAGGCCGGGGTGGACAAGCGAAGCTCTCAGCCTGAGCGGATTCTATTTGTAGTGCAGCAGACAGTAAGGGTACAAAGCAGCAGGCTGGAAAGATCTGATTTACATCTTTTAAGATCCCTTGGTTGCTTTGTGGAAGCAGACTCTAGGGGGCAATGGTGGAGGCAGGGAGACCAGTAGTCTCAATGGAAGATGCAGAGGGTGGTCAGGGTGGTTGGTACTCGAAGAGATAGACAGCAGTGGACTGTTTCAGGCTTGTTGCTACCGATGGTGGCCCTTCACAGACCACCTTAGCAGGTAGTGGGTTTTCTCTCCTTGAGATGACAGGGAAAGACTTGACACACTGTCTGATTTAGAGTCCTTGTCTGAAGAGCTGGCAGCAGTTGAAAATAAGCTAGTATTTGGCAAAAGAAAGAGGAGCTTAGGACTGCATCCTTTTAAAAGAGCTGAAAGGAAGACTAATCAGGGACAAGGGTAAAACATGGATATTTCTCTGAAGCGTAAGATTCTCAATTTGCCTGTGTGGAGCTGACACAGGCCCAGAGTCACTAATCCCAGAATGTCTGACCTGGAAGGGATCCCAGAGGTCATTCAGGGCAAACCAGCACTTACTAGTTTTGTGTGAACTTGAACAAGGAACTTATGACTTCTCTGAATTCGCTTCCTGATTTGTAGAATTGCAATAATAAAACCAGTTACTGTATAGGGTTGTTGTGAGGACAGAAGGACATGGTATGTATTTGAGGGCCCACCACAGTGCCTGGGTTACTTTTTTTCTCCTACAAACGGCCTATGACTTCCCTTTTTCTTATCTGAGGCCCTTCAGTTAGATTTCTGAGTCACACAGTAATGTGGATAAAGAACAGACTAAAGCTTTAGGATCCCTAAAATTCCATTCTTTTCTCTAGTTCATCTGTCCTTTGTGGAGGGTCTGAGTTGATGAAAAATTCATTTGGGTTAGAATCTGGGGAGCTTGTTTAGATCTGTTGTCCTCCCTGCCCCAGTCAACGTCAACAATGCACCTAGCCAGGCTGGCCTGCCTCATCTGCTCCCAATGTCATGGTCATTCCCATCTGAGCTCCTGTCATTCTCTTGCCTGGTATGCCCTCTCTTCCTCCACTTAGACATTTTATACTTGTCTCTCAGAGTCTAGCCAAAGGTCAGTTCAGTCATTCCTAAAAACTGGGGAGCTTCATCGATTTCTTCCTCCTCTGAACTTGTGCAAAGTTAGAATCTATATTTTGTCTCTTAGCCCTTAATTATATACTCTTCACCGTCTGTTGTTGCTCCATGTGCCCTTGTCTTATCAATGCCCATCAGAATGTAACCTCCTTGAGGAACATTTTACATTTCATCCGTGTCCTCAAGAGAATGTGGCAAAGATGAGTACACAATCTATGGGCAAAAATACTTGGGGATCTACTGGCTGGACCTTGAAGGATCTTCAACTGTCAAAATTACCTACCAGTAATTACCTACCTCAGTCAAAAATTACCTACCAATGTAGTAATGGACACACATATGTACCAGAAAACCAAATATATTTCCCCTATACATTTGGTCTAAGTCCATAGTTCCTGACTCAGCTCCAAACACTTGGAATTCCCTAGATAAAGGTGTCTTTTGTTGTAATAATTCAGGTAACTTTTAGACCCCACCCAAGGGCAGGGGCTGGTTGCCAGAAGGACGAACTGTGGGATTAGAGGGTATCCCCTTTTAGGGTACTCCCCAACTCTCCAGGGGAGAGGGCTGGAGATTGAATCAAACAATGGCCAATGACTTAGTCAAACATGACTGCAATGAAGCCTCCATAAAAACCCCAAAAGGATGGGGTTTGAAGAATTTCCAGGTTGGTGAACATGTCAAGCTGCAGGGAGAGCAGTGCACCCCTGGAGAGTTGCCCCATGGAAGCTCTATGCCCTTTCTCCAGACCTTGCCCTATGTATCTCTTCATGTGGCTGTTGATTTCTATCTTTTATCATATTCTTTAGTAAACTGGTAAACTTAAGTGTTTTCCTGAGTTCTGTGAGACGCTTTAGCAAATGAAAAGAACCTAAGGAAGAGGTTGTTGGAACCCCCAATCTGTAGCTAGTGGGTCAGAAGCACATGTAACAGCCTGGGGCTTGTGACTGGTGTCTAAAGTGGGGGATGAGGGGCAGTCTTCTAGGCCTGAGCCCTTAACCTGTGGAATCTGATGCTATCTCTGGGCAGAGTAGACAGTGTCAGAATTGAGCTGAATTTTCATATACCCTGTTGGTGTCAGAGACTTGCTTGGTGTTGTAGGGCTGGTGGGGTGAGGGACTCCCCACACCCCTACATTGGAATTGGGTCTGAGAATCCAAAAAGAGGTCACATAATGCCACCTCTGTGAGGACGCCTATTAATCTAGGTCTTTTCATTACTTTTGAATCAGTAAGACTGCCTCTCAAAAAAAGTTCCTTCAGCACTCCACAGGAATGAGTACAGTAATCAATGTCTTTAAGGTTAATTGAAAAGGTCACCAAAGAGTTTTCAAATGGCAGACATGTCTGTCTATCAGGCTTTGTCATCTATTTGTATAATTCCCCACCTTCTGCTCCATTAAGGTCTTTCTATTATAAAAACAATACATGCCATGAAAGGCCAGGGCTTGAACACTGCAGTAAATTAGATTTAGATCCTGTGGAACAAACTCTCAATTCATCAGAGAGATGCTGATGCTAGAGAGAGATGGGCACAATTTGGTCATCCTCCAGAAGCAAAGTCTGAGAACCCAGGTGGCATGAGATCCAGTTTTAATTTGCTGTCACTGACCTGTGGCAAGAGATAGGACTTCTATAGATCTGTGATATCCCCTTCTCTAAAGTAAAGACAAAAAAAGCCTCATCCTCTTTGTGTCTTTTATTTTAAGATCTCACCCTGAGGTAAGAAACACGTGTCTGTGAAGCCAGGGAAATGATTTAGGTAAACACATGCCATTCTCATTACCATCATTGCTGAGTAATGCTATGCTACAGCCTGGTGACTTTAGGGAAATATTTATAAGAGTCTCAGAGAAAAAAACAGAAGAGTAGAGGGAGATGGATGGGAAGAGTTAGGCGAGGCAGAAAAAAATGTATATATAAGAACACAGTAAGAGGCCCTAAGATCAGTTCACATGGAAAACAGTGTTCCTAGGCCCAGTTTCTAAGTGCAAACAGGCTTACCGTCCTCAATGTCATAGGCGTAGGCCGAGAGTCGCAGGGTGGTGGCACAGTACTCGCATTTGAAGCAGCTCCGATGGAAGAACTTGCCCTCAGCACTCAGCCTTTCCATAACATAGACCCGCTTCCGGCAGAAATAGCACGTGTCGCTGCCTCCCAAATTCTGCGGGAACTCCTTCTTTATTGAGCCCTGTAATGGGGGGCAGTGGGAGGCACGTTAGGGCAACACTTCTCAGGCTCACCTCCAGGAGGTGCACGACCCTCTCCAGATGTGAAACGAACCCTCACTAAGTGATTTTGCTTTGAGACAGACTAAGATGGCTCACTTTGCTATTGGCTCTCCCCCAAAACAGCGGCACAAGTGCAGAGACTGTCACATGTGCCTTCTATGCAGTAAGCAGCAGGAACTGGGTTCTGAATCGATGTTCATCAACAGTTGAGAGGAGACCCCAGGTGGTTTTACAGAATTTCACAACAATCAAACCGAATTATTTTGGCAGAATTCTGTTTTGAAGGTAGCATAAAAATACCTCGTTAGTGTTCACATGGTTCTACATGGATATGGGTCCCCTGGACTCTAGAGAAATCACTTTTAGAGATACTAAGTACATTTTTCCACACGACATTCTAAACAACCATTCAGTCCTAGAAATTGTTACGAAATTCAGATAACCTAAAAAAAAATTAACACATGGCATATATTGGCTATATATGTTACTAAGCTGCTTAGAATTAACCAGGTTTATTTACCACAGCTGTGCTATATCTAGATAGATAGTGCCCTTAACACATCTCTTACCAGTTCCTTCTTGTCTAGAAGGGTTTTGGGCTGTTCTTTCCTTTGAAGCTGATTGGCTATCTGCTCAGCCAATGAGCTCACTCCGCCCGTGTACATCTTTATATACTTCTATTGGTTGGAGATTATAAAATGACCAGAATGAAGGGAAATGAGAAGGAAAAAAATAAATAAATTAAGAAGACAGGGAAAAAAATCATTGAAAGGTATAAAATGAATACAAGGTGCAGCAGCAAACCATGCCAACACAGTGCCCACAAGCAGGGAAACTTGGTGGTAAGAAAAATGGTGTCATTGTCCACACAGACGTATCAGCATTGGTAAGAATAATGGCTGCAGGAATAATTAAATTCAGTAAGGGAGAATTAGTCTTTCATGTCTTTTTGGAATATATAGTTCAGGGAGGTGGGAAGACAGGATGGATACAAATATAGAACAGAATAAGAAGGGCCCATATCCTAGTGACTCAAATTACATATGAAGAATTCAAGATGAACAACTCCTACCAAAACAGCAGATGTCCAGATGAACAGCATGTTTCAAGTTGGGTCTGGGGAGGGCTTGGGAAGTTACTTCCTCATTTAGAAAGAAACCAACCTCACTCTTGCAGGGATGACTCTCCCCTTGGGTAAAAGATGCCAATAGCCTTACTAGTGATGATCACCTTCCTCCTATTAATGCTTCGCTCACAACCCCTGTCATATGCATCAAATATTCCTGAGCTTTATCTGGAAGAATCCTTCTCAGCCCATTCTCTCTGTTGGTATTTATATGTTCTATCTGGGCACTAAGGCTAAAACCTTCTAGACTGGGCTGGGCTTCTTAAACTCGGCTGCAGGAGGTTAACACGTGCAGCCATGCAGACAAGTGGTTTGGTATAGTCTTGCGAAATCAGAATGTGTTTTTAGTCCAGGAGGGATTATTTTTTTATAGGTTGAAAAAAGAGAAAAGAAAAAATCCAACCAATTCAATCCTCTTTCTAGCAATGCGGAAGAAGTAACAAGAAACTACCAAATTTCAATTGTAAGCCTTCCTGCTAGGCAGCCTAGCTTTGAGCCTGTCCCCAGTGAATGAGGTCAAAGCCTTGCTGGCTGTCCTTTAGAGACTCCACAGTCACCCTTCCACGTGGAAATGATCAGGAAACCCCATGTGTGCAACACTCCTCTCATAAACTATGTGCAATAGGACAGCTGCCCGCCGAGTGTGAGGAGTCCTGACTCTAATTCTGACTGAGAAACACACCAGGGCAGTTGTCTTGGGGGATGTTCACAACTCCATTAGGAAGTGGTTTGAATGGACAACACACAAAGCCATGTGTAAGAGAATCGCTGGCCTGAGCAACGGCATGCCCTGGGCTAGGCAGGAACAAATAAGAGAAGCGCTCTGGGGGAAAACTAACTCCATGTTAACTCTATGATAATAACAGAAACACAAATGAGCAAACAATTCTCCAGGGTTCCGCTGGAACTGAGGAAGTCAATTCTATTTTTCAATTTAAAATAAGGAGATTTCCAAGGATTGGTGCCACTTGCTCATTAACTCCACAGCTTATACCCATTAGTAGTCGAGAAAAACAAGTGGCTCTAAGATCTAAACCTTCTTTAGCTTAGAGATATCAGGGAAGCTTACGCCTGGAACAGACTGGCACCAGGCAAAGCAGAGCACATCATTTAACAGCTGACACTGAGGGTGCAGAAAATTGCGCTTCATTCTGCAGGAAGTAAGTGAGAGTGTAGGCCAGATGTCACACATGAGGCTGGGACGCTGAGCAAACCCTGGGGCCTCACTGCTCAGCCAGGACCCTTCCCTCCCACCAGGAACCGGCATCCTCAGCAAATACATACAGCCCAGGGCTGCCTGCGTGCAAAGGCATTGGTCACATTCAGTTCTCAGCAATGTGGTAATACTGACAAGCATCCCCCAAGAGAGGTGGAGACTCAAGTTCTATTTATTCTGGCATGAAAAGCAGATGGTTTCCTTCTCCCCAATCTTAAGAAATAGTCTAAATGTAGCAACTGTTAGACTTATACTTTTGCCACCACACATGCATATGCTTCTGCACACGTACTGCATAGACTGCTCAAGAATGGGAAACACAAACAGAAAGGGCAAAAAGACCCACCAATCACTCTCTAAGCTACTCTACAGCTGGATCAGTTCCATTGTAGGAAAAAGCAGGGCTCATTCTTCAAATGATTACAATTCGAGAGGCACCCAGAATACTGCATAATCACCACTCCATTTAAGAGATTTAATTACACTATGGTCCATATTTTGTCATGCATATTAATATGAAGACATTGGGAATTTAAAAAGCTAATGGCTGAAAACTTTATTATTATTCGATATAGTTGAAATATAAAAAAAATGAATTTGACAGAATTTGATGCCATGAAAGCTAGCAGCCTCCGTAACTTTGGTGTATGCCTACAGACCTTACATGCAAAACAGACAGACACAGGTGGATTCCCACAGAAGACAGGCCAAAGTTAAGAGCTCTGCAACCTCACTGGGCCACATGACATTTGTGTAGGTGAACTGAGGAGAGGCTGAAGAGGAAAGAGCTTTGCCAAGTTCCAGGCTGTGCTACCTGTCGGAGGGAGTCAGAGGAAGGAGAGGCGGGGCGGGTGGAGGAGCGGAGACTAAGAGAAAGCTCCCACTGGTCAACAAAGAATCGACGAGAAGGTTCAGGCTCTGGCTACAAAATACAAGATGGAGAAAAAAAAAAATCAAAGGAAACGTTAAATAAAGTTACACATTGACCTGAATACAAGGAATTTGGGAGTTTTAGACCTTCATCTAAATAATAAACAAAGTAAAGAAATATTCTTATTCCAAAAATCATGAATGGCTCACCCTTGCCTCATGCTTACAGTGAAGCTTGCTCTGGAACACGGTCACTGTAGTTGTGAGGCTCCTCTGCAAGCCTTGTCTTCTCCTGTTTGGTGGTTTTACTCAATTCACCCCAAGCAGAAAACGCTGCCAGCCAGGAGGTGGCAGAGGTGGTGTCCTGCTCACACACACACTCTTTATGCCCTGCAGAGCCCCTCACTGGCTTGAGCTGGGACTTCTGGGCAGAAGGAGATTCTACCAGCTTACAAACAGTGAACAGAGATAGCAAATCTAGAGTGAAGCTGACTCCTTCTCCATAAAGGCCAGAAATGTGGCTTTGCCTCTTCTTATTGCCAGTGCTCAGAGAAACTCTGCCTGCCAAGGAGCCAGCCAAATCCCAGCAATGATCAGGAGAAAAGATCCCACATCCTCTGCAGACTGCATGCAATATGTGTAACAAAAGTAAGCCGGGATCCTCTGTGGCCCATGCAGCCAGGAGCCATCCAGTCCCCAGAGAGGGAGAAGGGGGCTGAGAGCTCTGGCAAGTGATAACTGCTTAGTTTCCTACCAGGTTCAGGGTGAAGTACTTGCAGGGTAGAAGGAAGAGGTACTGTCATGGTAAGAGAAGCCAGCCCTCTGTCCCTCTAGCTCCAAGCAGATGCACTGCACCCCCAGTTCAGAGCCCCCATTAACTTCATAGCTTTAACGGGTGCTCCAGATGCTCAGCCAGCTCATTGGCCCTCAGCTCAGCACATGGGGCAGACTCAGAAACATAGGCCTGGGGTAGCGGGGGGGATCTCTGTAGAAGAGTACCACCCACCAGAGAGAAACAAGACAGAAGGCAGCTCCCCCCCAGAGATGGCAAAGCAGTGAAGATGATGGGAAGACTGGGGGTGGGAGGGTGAAGCAGCAGGTAGGGCGTAGGAAAGATTATGGAATAGTGGAGAGAAAATCTTGGAAGAGAACATAAATGGTAACCCTTAAAGGTATCTAGACAGGAACCCTGCAGTGAAGAATCCAGAAAGCAGCTCACTGGGAAAATGCTACCTTTCCTCTGGGCACTGCAGCCCCAGATGTCTGATAGCTTCTCCCTGCCCATCTCTCCATCTCTCCTCTTCCTTGACACACTTCCCTCTGTTCTTCTTTGCTTAGGCACTGTTTCACGAAAAATCATTAGGACCTCATTAAATATGCATGCCCTGAAATGTAGGGCTTGCCCTTCTCCATGAAAATGCCTAGTTTTCTTTTTGAAAGGAATATAGCCTGGGAAGAAGAGGCTGGGCACACACAGTGCTCGTGGGAGGAAGCAGCCCCAGCAGAAGGGAAGGAAGCAGAGCAAGGCTGTGCGTGAGGAGATGAAAGGGATGCCCTCTTTCCACCTCCATCCCGGTCTCTTCTCCCTCACCCAGCACCGATCCACGTGTGGTCCTGGCAGCACACAGACCGCCTGCTCCTCACATGGTAACAGGGCCTAGGGACACAGCACTAGCTTCCTTAGCTGTGACTCTATTTCTCAGAAAGCAAAAGCAGAAAGAGAGGTAAAAATAAAAGAAAAAGGCCCA